ATTTTCTTCTTCGGACAAGAGGACGAAACTAGAAAACAGCATTGCATAACTATTTGAAAAGATCCCAGTGATGATGTCTGACATGGAAATCGAGTGAAACCTGTTTAAGAGTGACATATTCAGGGCTTCTGCTAAATGTTAGTGTCATTGTTAAAATTGGTTGGCCTGCCGACTGGGGGTCAGAAGCGTCCTTTATGGCAGACAGTTTAACTGGCTGTCAGTGAGAAGAACGCCGCATTCAAGAGGTGGTTTACATGCTAAGAGCTCGAATGCGGTACAGAGAAGCGCTCAAGGCGACTGCCAAGGCAGTGACCAATGCGAAGGCTCATTCCTTGGAAAACGTTGGCGAGGTGCTGAAGTTGAATTTCCTTACGGAAAGTGTAGTATTCGGGAAGACAGTCTGCCTGCACAGAAAGAATGATTTTCTATGGGTCCTGAAGGACAAATCTAAACGCGCTGCTAAGGAAGAAGATATACCCGAAAGTACATTGAGAAATTTCTTAGCCCTTAGCAATGGCGATGAGACTTCAACTTCCTGAAGAGGATCATTGAACGGCTATTTTTCTTCCAGGTTGCTTGAATCGATGAAATGCGCCCTCAGTTATATGAAGCTTTTGCCGAACGAGGCATGTTGTGGAATAACATGTGTCCGGAACTGCCATGGCTGCATTGGAGGCTGGAGTGAACTGGAGAACGGGTCGGTGTAGTTCCCCCGTTCAAGATCGCAGAACATATGTAGTGCTCCAATATTGGGACATTATCTTATGGAGCTTGTGGGAGAAGTCTGCGTTAGTGTGTTGGAAAGAAGGAGCCGCGGAATAATTAACCCAGGATCCAAGAAGAATACTATCTTTCGCCTAGGCTGAAGCATTTCTGAACATACCTTGGCCCTTCGCCATAGTGAAAATCGTGAGATTTGCTCACCCGGCTTACATTTGTATTGCAGGCGTTGAGAAAGCCAATGGCCTTATTTCGCGCAACGAACCTATGGCATGCCTACAGAAATATGTCAATAATCAGTCGTTACGGGCTGTTTAGTCACTATAGAGGTCTAATAGCAGGTGCTGCGTTGGAGTAAATGGCATCAAGCGGAAAACTGAACATAGCTCAGGTATCCGCTAAGGATGTGTTCTGTTCCTTCTCCAGTGCTCTCTGGAAAGGTTCGCAGCCGATTGCGACGTGGCCGGTAGGCATGCGATTTCTCGTTCCCTTTCCGCTATGCTCTACAGATAAATGGAGTAAAAGTGGAACAAGTGGAGAAACCACTGACCTTGTAATAGTGTTTTCTAGCGACATAAAATGGGAGGAGGAGTTCGACTGGCGAATCGGAATAGCGAACGGTGTTTGACATAAATTATCCTGAACTGTTGTGACTATGGTATGCCTGAATCTGAAGAAGACGCTATCTGTATTAAAGTGGAATTTCATCTCATTCTCACCTGTGGTTACAAGTGATGAGCCATGACTGAAGAACTGTGATCCTGAACTGGGCTTTCTGCGACGAATCTCCGGGTTATCGTGTTTGACCTGATCCACAGTTCAGATACGTGAAAAGGCCTTGGTATACTGTCAGTGATTCTCTAGGGTGACAAGTAATACCTGCAGAAGTCTGCGCAAACCTTGCGATTTCTTCCAGGAAGGAACGAGAAATAGCTGGTGCTTGCTCAGCTGACGCCACGGTCGAATGCTCTTCGGATGACCAAAATTTACCCGAGGCCGGTGTGTCGACAGATTCTGCTTCAGAATCGGATTATCTTTTGCTTATGCTCAGATGGTGGCAAAGTGTTGGGAACGTGGGAAGCGGCGTCTGACGCATCTGCCTCCGACACAAAAGGATAAGCGGCCATCGAAACTGAGTGACCGATTGACTGACTGAATTTACGTTGGGTTCTTCACTCATTGCATATTCTTGTGCTGAACAAATTGTTTGCTCCAGCTCAGTTTTGTTTGTCTTGATCTTGTTATTGTTGTTGTCTGCATCTAACAAGCTTTGAACCTCGAAGTTGTGTTTATTAGTTTTGCCTAATTTCATTGAAATGGTTTCTCAGGTTTATTTTAAACATCCTTCGCTGCAGTTGCAAAAAATATTCGATATCCCAACCAGGTTTGCTTTACCGAAGTAATTCTTGGTTTTTTGTTTTTCTCAAATCCAATTGTAATCAATGCGTGGTTTGTGTAAAAATGTATTACCATAGAAATGGTTCCTGAATAAATTTGTATTTTGTCTCCGGTACATTTTATCAAATCAGAAAGTTTACATGACAATTTTCACAACCCACTGATCATCACTGCGTGTCTGTTCAGGGTGTTCTGCAGACTGCGCTGTTGAAAGTTTTTAAATCGATCCCGTCAAGGTTCAAAACGGAATGTTTCCGCAGTGCTCTTCGTTTTTGTTTTACTGTTTGTGTTGGCTTATTTTTGCACATTCTGTACCTTCCTGATTAATGACAGCGGGTGTTAACGCTGGAGAGCTTGTTCAAGGTATGTGTATAATGTCATCATTTTCTTGCAGTTTAAAGAGTGATTTAATAATTGAGTAATAGTGAAGTGAGAGGAAAAATTTTGCTTCTCTTGGTGTTACATACTTTTAAAATGTCTGGAATCATTATCACCTTTGAAGTGTACCCTACAACTTGGAAGCTCCGTTAGTATGCCACGACGCTGTTATGCAAGTCAGCGAATCGAAGATGGCCAGCAACGTCTTTTATTCAAAATTTATGTTTAATGCTTTCACTCAGGATAAAGACAACGACGTTCTCAAGGAAATTCTGAAGCAGTACGTAGAACGTCCGCTTGATGTAGTCGTTTACAACAGCAAGACTCAAACCGTACGTCATACAGAAATCACTCCGTCGCAGAAATGGGGCGGACAGGGTTTGCTGGGTGTGTCAATTCGATTCTGCTCGTTCGATGGCGCCAATCAAAATGTTTGGCATATCTTGGTACGTAGCAGTTACCTGAATAGGCATATTTTTTATATAATGTCCATTTCTTCCTAGAACGTGCAACCGAATTCGCCTGCGTTCATATCAGGACTCCAGCCAGAAATAGACTACATTCTGGGCGCGGAATCCGTTTTAAATGAAGTATGAATCAATGTTAATTTCGATGTCGTTTCTGCTTCTTTATGCCAGTGATTTGTTCATTACGCTATTATCAGGTTTAAGGTTCAGTTTCAACAATAAAATGTGTTTTCTCTACGAACATAAACTTTTGAACGAGAAATTAAACGGAAAGCTGTACATGCACAGTTGTTTTTTTGCAACGATAGAGAATTAGCTTCCTAACAAGAGATGCGTGAAAATTCGCTTTTAATTATATAAAATAAGTCTTTTAGCCAGCTTTTTTCATGTTGTAAGTTTTTTTTGCCTATGCGTCAGTTTTAATGATATAGTTTTTGATATCTCAGATCGATACTTTACATACTTGTAACGATGAGCTATTTTCATCTTAAAGGCGATAGGTCTTCTGATTCCATAGTAGACAGCACGGGAAACATTTTTCATCCAAATAATCAAAAGACCTATCACCATCGAGTCATCTTCGGCACGGTATTGGTATAAGCCTGAGAAACTATTTTCATCTTTTTCTTCACTGATTTTTTCTGTAGTTCCGTATCCAAAATTTTGCTCTTTCGCCACGCGATTAAAAATTGAACGAATAAGCAGTACCTTCCACTCGTACAATGTCTGATTAATCGCAGAACTCTAAACTCTTTCGTCAATGCTGGCATTGCGAATTTTTAAGTGTTTTTTTAGTGAAGATGGATTAAAAAATGATTGATTCTTTTGGTTGGAGTCTACCATACGATATAACTTAGTAGCTTCTCTTTAGCTAGCATTTTCTTTGATATATTGAAATTTCTAAACTAGTTTTAAATAGTAGTTAGAGGTAAGGGAGGTACATTTGTTGTGTTAGATTTATTTTAGGTTTAGTTCATTTGCAACAACACCAAGTTGTCCAGAAGCACATGCAGGAAGTATTTTAAAATACTTAAATATTCTGAAAATTTAATGTGGGCAGGCATGCGATATGCAACGATGAGAAGAAAATTGAACGATAGATTGACTGCTAACTTTTACAGATTGGCCTTCTTTATTAGAGGATTGATGAAGCACATGACAACAAATGGTAGACTGCATTTTATGGATCTTCTGTGAACCTTTGTTCAGGAAAAAATTTCTTAATGGAGGTTTGTCAATAGCGAATTGAATCTTATATGATAATCAAACACTCCTCATTTCAGATGGCTTGAATTTGAGGGTTAGGTATATGGTTTACTTTGCGATCTCGTGCGCCACAAGTGAGATGCAGGCTAGCCAAAGAGGATCATGAATATCGCGGATCTTTCTATTCTAGTTCACTTGGATTCTAATATCCCTAGGCAAAATGCTGGTGCCAAATTTAGTTCTTGAGGAGTTATGCACGCCATTGCGAAGTGCTGGTGTGTTATGGCATCGGCGTCTAATCTTTTCAATCGCAGTAAAAAGAAGGACGCATTGCTCTCCTCTCTTCCTCATATCAGCGATCTGAATGTCAATTCTTCATTTCTGCGTCCGCTTTCTAATACAGTTCCTTCTCGATACATAATATCAAACGCAAGTAGGATGCCGTCGTGCTCACTAACATACATTTTGAGAACTGTCATGAACAGCTTTATACAACGAAGAACTTTATGCAATGAGAATCTATAGCTGGCCAAAGTTTCATAAGAGAATTTGACTATTTACGCCAAACAATCTGAACAAATGGTTACAAGTCGCTTTTCATTCATACTCAGTTACTGCAGCCTAGTTATCACGCGAAGCTCCATAAAGCCATGAACTGCAAAAGATGCACCCTTCTGTTGCTTCTATTTCGCGCTCCATTTTCACATGTCTAACCTGGCTAGGCTTCGATATTATAAATCAGTAAAGATCTTAATATGCCCTGTTTGGTAATTATAGCAAGCGGCCTGTTTTAGAATACTCCAGTTTTGTTTAAAACATCCAGCGCCAGTAATGTAGTTGTTTTTCGTTGGTAAAACGTTTGGGAAATTGAATTTCCATGTGATGGAGCACATGTCTGCATATCAGTAGGATCACGCGGAACAGTTAGCCATCGCAGAACGTGCATTAGAATGGACATAAGTTTTAAGAGGCTAATGTTTCTATTTTGGGCAGGAATGATCGTCATTTGTCATGTCTGACTAACAACCATGAGAACATCAACGTAGCTTCTGCGAAGAAAATATTTTCAATTTCTTGCAGTCCTTTCTACCATACGCACTGGGTAGTTTATCGTTTTTCCAATTCCACTGGCAAGGTTACTAATCCTGCACTTGTTTGAGCGTCTTCTGGACATTTTTCCTCTAATGATGCCTTGCATGATGAGCTCGTAGGCTGTTCTGTATCCCTGCAGCATTGCATTTTCAGCATCGGACCGCTGTTGGCAGCAGTTCGTACTTTGCGGTGGGTGTTATGTAACAACAAATATTTTATATGTAATGGGTATTCTTCACCGTACCAAGCAAGCGCGAACTGGTCTACTATCATCAAGGTTGTTCATTGGACAAAGGGAAATTTACAACTACAACAGCTTAAAAATCTCTTTTTTACTGGTTTTTGTAACGTCAGTCTATTTATTTTTGCATGAATACTTTACATTTCATTTTCTGTTTTTTGACTAGTTTCGTCGGTTTTGTGACCATTTATCGGTTCAATTATTTTCTTAACTATATTGCAGAAATCAGTTGCTTGTTAGCAAGTAGGTAGTCTAAAACTTGATATTACTTGTCAGTTCCGCCGTTTACTTTTCAGTTTTTATTTCACTTGGAAATTATTCGTACTTGATATTTGAAATTTTGAGTGTGAATAATTGGTTAATTTCTTATATAGCAACTTGAACTACTGTAAGATTTGTGGCACCCAAACAGCGTAAGCGGAAAAGATATAGGCAGTAAAAATTTATAACGTGGCATCTTTGCATCCGTGTCGAAAATCACAACATTAAGACGCAGTTGCATCTTGAAATATTTTGGTCATAACTATCATTGTAGGTTGACGATCTGTTTTCACTGATTCAAGCTAACGAGGGAAAGTCTATCAAACTGTATGTTTACAACATCAATAGCGATACGGTCAGGGAAGTGACGCTAACTCCAGTAAGAGGATGGGGAGGCGAAGGAAGGTAAATACTGATAAGTTTTTACTTGTAATATACTTAATGTGTCAGTCTCGGTTGTGATATCGGATACGGTTATTTGCATCGCATACCAGCATATCGCGAACGTGTGCCTAAGACAGTGGTATTTTTTCCGTTTAACAGTGAATTTCAGAATTTATTACTGACTTTTAGACCTCAAATATGCAATCGTACAATGAGCCAAAAATATCACCGATTAAAGTTCCACCACCAAAATTGCCGATCAGCAAAGCAGCACCAATATTCAATGCCAGAGTTCCACGTACTATAGCTGATTCTGGAGTTAATATCCTTACATCTGGCAAAGTTTTGCCTCCACAGAATCTTCTTTTGACGGCTTGCAGCTCTGAATCATCGAAAGTCAGCACTGCTTTAGTGGATGCTCCTTCCACATTCAGTGGAAAGTTGCCGACTAAACTTGAGAAGCCACCAAATGTGGTCGAAAATGCTGGTGATGTCTCAGCGGCGAATACGGTAGTCATCAAACCGCTGACTATCAATTCGTGCACACTTACAGCTGCAACAGCTCAGCCTCCTTCAAAATGGGAGACAGTCCGACCACCTGGTACGGCTTCGTTCAACGGGACCATGGTACCACCGCCGCCATCGTTATTCAGGCCACCTTATATGCCGCCTCCACCACCTCCAATGTTCAATCCTTACCAGCCTGAGGCGCAGCGCTCTGATCAGATGAATGTCCAAATGACAATGAATTACGGAAACGTCCATTATCCGCCGTCTTCTCAAGGTATTCGCTCTTTAGCTATCCGCGTGGACTGTTTTATTTTATTATTGTTGGTTAAACTATAAAATGCTCGCTACAGAAACTATAGTCACTTCGATTTAATTTAAACTTTAAGCTTGCAAAAAATTGCTTTAGCCTATTACATTAAATTTTTAAGTAATATAATTCGGACTTTAGGCTGTAGACATTGACTGATTCCTCTGTCACGGAAAAATATATAAGTTTCCTATACCTCCTTATGTAACTTCATCGGTTGAGGTAACCAGTTTTGGGGTTGTTTCCACTGGCGAGTAGATGCGCATGAATTTCGTTCTGCTGCCGTTCTTCTGTACAAGCTGCCAAACGTTCGTGGTTTACAGCAGACCTCATCCAGATATGATAGTCAGAGCTAGATCTGATGTTCAGAAATTCAGTATCTAAAAAGAGAAGCTGCCAGAGCGCAAGGACGTTTAAGTATTATTGCATGATGGACGTAGTTGTCTGTACAGCAGGTCGATACGCGGTATGGATTTGGAGCTCTCTCTTTTTCATCTATTAGACAAAAACTACAGCTTGAGGATGAATGATAGTTCACCATCGGCTGCTGCACTTTCTTCTTACCGAATAGAAAATAGTTCTGTTGCCCCGGAGCAGCGACTGTTTTCACGACGTTTGAATGCGTGACAGGCCACAACCTCGCAGCTAGGTAAATTTGACTGTTTTCCTTTTGTTTACAGCTTGAGGATAGATGACAATTCATCATCGACTGCTGCAATAACCATAACTTTCATACTGAATAGAAAATAGCTCTGTTGCCCCGGAGCAGCGACTGTTTTCACTCTGGTTGAATGCGTGATTGTCCGCAGCCTCGCAGCTAGGTAAATTTTACTAAACGTTTTCCCGTTGTTTACCCCTTACAAATATTGCATTGTTCGGAAGGAGCTGTCTGCATATCTGTATGCAGTGTAATGTTCCTTTCTTCAACACCGGCTATGACTGTAGCTGAAGACTTATGTGTTCAGATGTCCCGATTGCGGCATGTGTCCCACACTGTCTACACGATAGACATGTAACTGGATCGCTAAAAATTGTATCCAGGGTTTGTGAGACATTTGAGTCCCGCACAATCTTGTCATCATCAGGCCTTTTTCTCTAGAGAGGTATATATAAACGTGGATAGAATCTATCATTTCAGATGCCAGATTTATAAGCTGATCAGTGGTAAATGGCGAAATCATTCATCACGTACTTGCGAATAGATTAGGTCATTGGATCGCGTAAGATTATGGCAGTAGCACCATATTGCATATTGTTATTGGGCAAATGGAGCGTAATATTCCGAGTTCTAAATGTTAAAGATTTGCCTGAAAAATAACTTGCTGCACTTCGAAGCTCTTAGCTGCGCTGTGCTGTTTTGAATATATCTTCGCTACTGTTGCCACTCTTACTGCTCTCATATGATGAAAAATGGAACATTTGGTTCCAAGGTAGATTTAATTTTGAGGGACAATAATCGCGTTGAAGTAGGTAGCATTATATGATGCAAGTGCGAAAATGATGTAACAGCGCCTACCGTACTTCCAGTAAACAGGTGCTATCCCAGTGACGGGCACTGGTGACTGAATCTCACAGAATAAATATGCCAAGATTTTCTTCAGCGATGACGAAAAGCCTTACTTCTGCATTGTTATGCAATAAACAGAACGAACAGCAGCATAACATTATGAGAATATTCAAACCAGTGCACTTCGAAAACGTGGTTTCAGCTAAATGGTCATGCGGTAGGTCTTAGAATATGAAACGGATCAAGATGCATATCTTAGCTGTTCCGCACAATTGACAGAAAATGTTTTGAGACGCTATGTGAGTATGCCGAATTTCAAGGTCTTGCGGAAATAAAGGCTTAATGCTGACATTAGCATGTTTGCGCCGATATATATGCTCTCCAAATCTTTCCAGAGAGAGCGCTGGAGCTCAGTTTCATATTTTGCGGGATACGCCTGACTATCCTATTCGTTTACAACACTAATACGAGAGATGACAGAACGCAGTCTTGGCGGAGATCTATGCCATCGTTGAATTTTTTGACTTAACGCCATTTACTATAACACAGTACCTGCTATCAACGTATATTGACTGAATGGCTCGTAACAACTGGCGATCGTTCCAGTACGTCTGCAACCACGCCTACAGCTTGCTGCGAGGGATCAGGTTAGAGGCTTTCTCCATGTCAACAAGCAAATATAAACTGAATGAGCGAACTCCTACGATTTCATAGCAATCTATAGTAAGACGAAGATCTGCTTTGAGGTGCTCCGGCATGACCTGAAACTACATCGGTCTCCTTGTTTCTTAGAGTCTGTTATCCGGCGCTTCCTTTTTAACACCTTTTGCAGAGACTTTCCAGAGAGGTTCAAGTCAGTGCCCCGATAATTGCAGCTCTTCTGTGATTTCGATTCTTAAATAGGGGTACGACAATCCCTGTTGTCCAGTCCACCGATGTCTTACCAGTGTTGTCCAGTCCACTGATGTCTTTGCTGATTGACAAGCACGTGTTTGTCACAAGCGCCTAGGGCATAATGCATTTTAGGATGAATTTCATCGGTTCGAGCAAACTTGCCACTTTCCAAGTTTTTTACAACTTCAGTCACTTCTTCTACTTAATGATTAGTATCCATCCCTGGTGCGGTTTAGGCCAGTCTCCTTGCGCTTGCGCGGGTTTGGAGGTTCCTCAGATTTCTCCCTCTGTTGCTGAAGTATATCCTGTTCCGTAGTAAGATGGCGTGTACAGCGAGTGCGTTTATCCTTCTGAGTTTTTAGAATGCCCTTCATTCCGTCTCAAAGCAGCGCAGTGATGCACAAAAGTATTTTTTCCTTTTGGAAATTCGTTTTCGGGACCTCACCGAAGTTTTCTAAGGAATCAGTTTTCGCTTTATCTGCCAACTTACTCATTTCGCAGTGATTTATTCCGAATTGAAGGTACGTTGCTTCAAGACGACTTCCTGAATGCAGCCTTATCGCTGATTTGTCAGTTGAACTTTTGATGTCCACCAGAAAGGTCGTTTCTGACCCTTGCAGGGCAGGTCAACGCATTTTAAACTGCAGCATTCGTTAATTGTTCAGAGAAGGTTATCTTTAGAGAGTTTCTTCTTCGTTTTTACATCGGCTGTCGTCAGTGAAATTTGTTCAGACCATCGTGTGTTGTTTTGTTATGTTGACCTCTAATCGGCATAGTCCTTTAACTTCTGGCGCTGTTCATATTTATAACTTCTGTGAAATTTGACATTGCCACAGTGCTCTCTAATGCTCTGATTTTTCCCAGGATGAATTTTCAGATAATCAAGTAATATTTCGTTATAGAAACTAATGCGACATAATATCATTGTATGGTGAATTATGAAAAAATGACGTAGAAAAGTTTTACGATATGTGCCTTTAGTGATATGGCTGTGTATGTATTCCAGCTAATCATGTTAGGTATTTTATGTTCGCTAAAGAATCAGCATAGGAAATGAATCTTGTTAATTCTTTGTTAATATTATGTATGTACGTAAGATGCAGTGTCGAATTACCATAATTGTTAATTCACGGAGAGTTTTATCGTGGCTGTTGCTCTCTGCCTGTTTTTAGCCAGTGGCTTTGTGTGACCTGTAATTCAAACTTATAGACTGAAGGCTGTATATATCGTTCCTGAAGTTGCTTTAGCACTTTCACTATGTTCTGTTTTAGATCTTGTTCGACAAACCATGTATGACCCAGCAAACGTCGCCGACAATCAGCGAAATGTCCAGATTCCATGTAATACTTTACCCTTGGCGCCGCTGTTGTGTCCTCCTAACGCCGCTGAGTCCTGCCCATCAACTATTGTTAAAAGTGAGTTGCTCTGGTACATGTACCGTTCTAACATATTCGCTTATTAGTTTTGTGATGCGGATTCTGTCGAAGAGTAATTCTTGGGAATAACGAATGTCCTCAAGATATTCGTTATTTTCAAGATTGATGTTGTTTTGTCCTTCGTCAGCAGAATGTTTCATAGACCCGAATCCGCTGCACTTCAACGTCAGGTCAACTATGACTGGAAAGCTTCGACCCTGAGTAGAAACGAGTGAAGTGAGCTTTCTGAGAAAAATCGTTAGCCTCACTTGTCTCGACAGGGTCCGGAGTACAGAAATCCGAGACAGTCTTGTTATACAGCCGCTGCTTTTCCAGATTGAGAAGTCATAACTTTCGATGATTTTGGCACGTATTTCGAATGGTTTCAGACGGGAAGGCGAAACGGTTAATACTTGTCTTGACAGACTCTGCTCCACACTCGAGTTATCTTCTGCCGGAGCTGAAACGCTGGCACAGGATCGGGAACGTTGACGACACTGTTTGACTTGTCTGCTTCCGCGACCCAAAGGATAAATGGCCATGTTAACTGACTGACTCGGATGAAGTAATGTCATTGCGTACCTGCTCATACAGTTGCTGGGCGTTGTTCACGTACAAGTGTTTCGTACCAAGGCTGTTAATTGGCTCTGTATGTGATCTCTGCGTGAAGACGCCTTTTCGAGATCTTATGAAATTGTTTTCCTTTATTGACTTACAGTGGATGTGTACTTGACGGTGCTCAAAGTCTAGCAGTAACGACAAGAAAATAACCATCACATTTGAAGTCAACATGAAAATGCTTAAGCAGTTTGAATCAAATGAACGTCAAGTGGATATGGCTGGTTCTCTAAGTCTGTCCTGATGAAGTATTTTTACTTTACGATCACACAGAATTTTGAGAAAATCACTATACCTGCTACGTCCTGTACTGCAACAAAATTAACACGTTCATCAAGGAATTTTCGTAGAAGAAGGGGGATTGTTAAGCATATGAATTGAAGGAGAGATCGGGTAATCTGCCTCTGAGCTAGTCAGTCATCATAGTAAAGGCAGAAAGCGTATTTACCTCTCTTGTAGCATGAAAGGAATGAATCAACACCAGAAATGGTTTGAACCGGTTGTGGGTGGTTTAACAGACTTAATGCAGTAATCTGCACAGCATAGAGGTATATGATTAGACATCTAAGGCTGACTACCGTTACCAAGCTGCATC